TACTCACACACTCCCACACTCCGCACACTCCCACACTCCCACACTCCCACACTCCCACACTCACACTCACACTCACACTCACTCTCGCTCGCTGACTCACTCACTAATCACGTTAAGAACAGACCAACGTACGACCGCGCCTCGCCTCGTGGCGAGGATTGAGGCTGGTCGACAAGAGACGCTGTCTCACCAGACAACGGGGACGCCTGCAGACATGGTAGCCGCATCTCCACTGCGCTCCATCCAGCAATCGACGGCTCGATCGTTAGTTTCCCAGCCTGGCAGCACAGCATGAGCAGTTAAGACCGACATCACGGCCAGACAGCAGGGCTTTAAACATACTATGACACAGACATTCACACGCAGCAGTAAGGGTTAACATATATGCACAGGTACATCTCACACAGCATGCAAGTTACATATATACACAGAATCATGCCAGCACACAGGGTTAAACATATATGAGCACAGACATCACACCAGCATACCACGGTTAACATATCATGAGCAGCAGACATCACGCCAGCGCATTACGAGGGTCGTTAACATTACATCAGCACAGACATCACGCAGCAATACCAGGTGTTAACATATATGAGCCACAGACGGATCAAGCCAGCATACCAGGGTTAATATATTGAGCACATGACATCACCAGCATACAGGTTAACATATTATCGGAGCACGACATCATCGCCAGCATACAGGGGATAACAGTTCATCAGCACAACATCATGCCAGCAGTACAGGCGTTAACATAGTATGACTACAAGGAATCACGCCAGATACCAGGGTTCAACAATATTGAGCACAATCACGCCTACGCATAATACTAGGGTTAAATATTTTGAGCACAGACAATCACGCCAGCATACAGGGTTGACATATATGAGAATGACATCATGCCAGCACAACGGTTAACATATATGAGCACAGGAAATCACGCCAGCATACACAGTCATAATTGACACATATACCACATAAGCACCAGTCCAAAAATATGAACACAGCTAGAATGCAGGAATAGTTTATGTTACACATGTATTACCCGTATCGCAACACACCCCTTCCTACACGACATTACCATCCCTGCTTCTGTACCTTTCCTCCTAATCTCTATTTTATCTTCCTTCTTTCTTTCCTTCTCCTCCTCTCTCATTCTCCTCTCTCTTTTTAACTTCTTTTTTATCGCTTACTCTTACTCCTTCCTCTTCTTATTCATTCTATCTCCCTCGACTCCTAAGCCATATCTTTCTTCTGTGTGAGTGTGTGTGAGTGTGTGAGTGTGTGAGTGTGTGAGTGTGTGAGTGTGTGAGTGTGTGAGTGTGTGAGTGTGTGAGTGTGTGAGTGTGTGAGTGTGTGAGTGTGAGTGTGTGAGTGTGTGAGTGTGAGTGTGTGAGTGAGTGTGAGTGTGTGAGTGTGTGAGTGTGTGAGTGAGTGAGTGAGTGGACGATTGATAGACTAAATCAATCAATCAATAAACAATAATAAATGAATAAATAAACATCGGCACAGGACGAGAAGCACCTGCCGGACGGCGAGGGCTGGGAGTTCGCCATCTTCTTCAACACCAAGTTCCACATGAAGAATCGGCCGACTGATCTCGTGCGCAGACGCCGCTGGCACCGCAAGATGACGGCCAGCCAGGCGGGTGTCAGCCCTGTGTTTGTGAACAACCTTAAAGCACAGGCAGAGGTGAGAGAGGGGGAGAGCGGGAGGGGTAGAGGGAGGAGAGGGGGGAGAAAGAAAGAGAGAGAGAGAGGGGGGGGAGAGAAGGCAGAGAGGGGAGAGAGAGAGAGAGCGAGAGAGAGAGAGGGGGAGATAGGTGGGGGCAGAGAGAGTGAGAGAGGGGGAGAGAGGTGGGGTCAGCCCCATGTTTGTGAACAACCTTAAAGCACCTTAAGGCGGAGGTGAGAGAGGGGGAGAGCGGGAGGGGTAGAGGGAGGAGAGAGAGAGTTACTGCTACTGCTACTGCTACTGCTACTGCTACTGCTACTGCTACTGCTGCTGCTGCTGCTGCTGCTGCTGCTGCTGCTGCTTCTACTGCTGCTGCTGCTACTCCTGTTTTTTCTACGTACTGCTACTGCTACAGCGTCTGCTGCTGCTGCTTCTGCTGCTGCTGCTGCTGCTGCTGCTGCTACTTCTACTGCTGCTTCTGCTGCTATACTGCTACTGCTACTGCTATTCTGTTACTTCTGTTGCTGCTGTTACTACTGCTATTGCTGCTGCTGGTATTACCACTACCGCTAACACTAAAGCTACTATTCTACCACTACTTCAGCCTCAGAACAGCATACCGGACGTGGTGGTGTGGATGCTGAGTGGTAACCGCCGCATCGCCTACTATAGGATACCAGCCTACGACGTGCTCTACGCTTCTGACCCTGCCGCTGCAGGCTACAACTGTGGCAAAGTGCAGACGCTGAATCTAAAGGCACGTAACCACGACGTTCTCTCGTTTCTTTGTTTCGATATACTTGTTGTAATGTTGGCCTTTTTGGGGTTTCATTTGATCTATGATTCTTGTCATAATGTTAGCCTTTTTTGGTTTGTATTTCTTTGTTTACGTTCTTTTGCTTTTGTTAAATTCAATCCAATTTATTTCAAATACAAATTCACATTGCTGCATGATAATTTTGCAGTTTAGCTGCCTAGTGAAAACTACAACCTGATAAAACCTTGATAAATCTAGTGAAAACTACAGGAAAAAAATTTGTGACAACTGCACCATTAATGGCATTATAAGTGAACTTCCAACATCTGTTGTGAAAATGTGTACAAATGTACGCGCTCATCTTGTTTAATGCTACGCGTAAGACAAATAATAGATTGGAACCAAATGTCGTTCTGTTATGATTCTGCTCTGGATTAATTATTATAATATGTTAATGTAAAGAGTGCTAAAACGTATCGTTTCTCCATTTAATATACCATGCAGTATCCTGGGAGTGGATTGGCTGGAAACAGATCGATGCCCTGTCATCTAAGGCTGAAGGCTTGGCTTGGCCTGTCTAAGTATGACCAGCACTGGCACCAGTCACAGTTGGATGGAGAGTTGGCAGTATTTGCTGAAACGGTAACATCTATTTATATATCGATCTTTCTGTGTCTGTCTGTCTGTCTGTGTGTCTGTCTGTCTGTCCGTCCGTCCGTCCATCCTGTGCACATGCATTTGTTCCTACCTAACTCTTTAATGCTTGCTTCTAATGGAAAGGAAATGGAGTTACTTTCGCCTCATGATCTATTGCCTTGTAAAATCTTCACAGTACTGAATACTGATGATGACTATTTTTTCATTTTTCGTGTTGAGTACGAATCTGTATAGATATTGCACAATATACATATAATTTCATGGGTGAATATGTTTTACAGTGATGTGTGATTCATGTGTCAACTCTTTAAGATTTGTGGTACTGTTACCATATGAATATTCTCTGATCTTGCAGTATGAAAACCAGATGTATATACCAGGGATTAAATGGACTAACAAAGCACCAACCATGGGTCGATCAAAATGGTCTGATGCTAGTGGCAAGGTAACAACATTAACCAGTTCACAATTTCATTTCCTTATCATGTGCATATAAGCTAAGAAGGTTATCAGTAAAATTGGTATGTCATACCTGTACCCTTGATGAATTGGTGCTGCCAAACATTCCAGTGGTCTGATTAGTACGTAAAACATAGTAATTAAGCTATGATCTCCAATTACTCTAAAAACAATACGACTAGCCAATTAACAAGATAATGTATGATATTTGATAGAGTATATTTTGTGTAGGAGTATGAGTGGTATGATGTAGTCTTATTTTTTGTATGTGGATATATATAATGATATCTTAATTTGCCTAATGCATGATTTCTTTCGCATAGCTCAAATTGCCAAAAGACAGCTTTGTTGAGCCTCAAGGATGGAGATTCGTAGGAGATTGGTACATAAGTCCTGAGATCAGGTATTATAAACCAACAATGAACATGTACAGCGTATAATATGGCTATAGATATGTTCACGATATTTAAAACTAACTGCCACATCATTACTTGTGAAGTGAATATGTGATCGAGTCAGCAGACTTCAGTCAATATGGGTCTAGTGATCCCCTTATTACCCTGCATGCATGCATATCAGGAGTAAATAATAGCTCATTATTTGCTTCCGATAATACACGTAAAATTAGCATAAATAAAAAAATATCTTCTTATTTATTCATGGTGCAAATCCGATTAAACTACTATTTTATAGCCACTAGCTCAAACCATACCTTGTACATTATACCACAAAAATGTGGCTTAAATGTATTATATGTACGAATTCATGTAATTTAATGAGAACCTTATCATAGTCTGTTGTGATGTAGTTCTCGAGAGTTTTCGAGAACACATATGAAGTAGAATCGATGTATCCTGGCCAGGCCCTATATAGACAGCTTTAGTAATCAATCTTTGCTGATATAGGATGTTCTAAAACATCATGCATTAATTAGCTTTCGAAGTTAATAATTTAGGTGAACCCGCATGAAAACATGTAACCTCGTGTAGTTTGAACGACCTATCCAGAATATCGAAGGCGGTACGGTTATCTCGCTCGGGAGGATGGGTCAGTTGTCTGCGGAATTTTGAGTATACTTATGCGTAGACTAATGAGCGATATGTGTGTGCTCGCTATATAGCATGCAGTTTGATCGTGATGCCGGTCACACCAAGTTTATGGAGGATGCGTTCGAGTGTCAGATGAGACTGCCAGGAATCGGCTGGTCAGCGCCAGCTGTTGGCATACCGTGGTCTGACGTCGTGAGTATATATAGATGTGTGTACCAATGTGCACATCCCCCGTGCTGGTTCATGACTACCGGCTGTCTCTTACATTAACTTTATTCGTGTTGGATCTGTTAAATCTATGACAATCCCGACGAATGTGTATGTAGCATACAATACATAATTATATTCCAATGGAATTCTATAGAATACATAATACAATTCTATATAATATAATTTAACCTTTACACCTATATATGTGCGTGTGCTTGTGTGTGTGTGTGTGTGTGTGCGTGCGTGCGTGCGTGTGTGCATGGGTGTGTGTGCGTGTGCATGGGTGTGTGTGTAGCAACAGCAGTGTGGGTGTGATATGAACAGCTGAGTCCATCACTAAGCTGATTCGCATTTCTACTGTGGTGCTGATGGATAGAGAGAGGAGCCTGCTATGGGAGAGTGTGTGTGTGCTACATATGTCTAGTGTCTACGTGTTAAATTGTTACCATACTAGTCAAGAACTGGTGAATGATCTGACAAACGTTTAGCTAATCCAGGTTTTCTTTCTCTCTTCGGGGACTGTTTGGCAGAGAGGAGATTCTGCGCTACTGACGAAGGATGAATTCGTTCTGCGCCAGAAAGGATGGGATTGGGAGGACGTGTGGGAGACTGACGTGAATAGGGCTGTTGATGAAGAAGGTAAACCAGTAAAGGAAGGAGGAAGCGGAGGAGGAGGGGGAAGGAGTAGTAGAAGAAAATGAAGAAGAAGATATGCTTAGGAGTAGGGAGCAATAAGAATCAGAATAAGAAGAGGAGAGGCAGTAAGGTCACCACAAGAGTCAGAGAGAGGAAGAATGAGAAGAGGAGGAGAAGGAAAGAAGAAGGAACATAAATAGAAGATAGGTAGGAAGGTACAGAAGCAAGGGATGGTAATGGTCGTGTAGGAAAGGGGTGTGGCAGATAGCGGGTAATACATGTGTAAACATTAAACTATTCCCTGCATTCTAGCTGTGTTCATATTTTGACTGTGTGCTAGTGTGGTATATGTGTTCATATTATGACTGTGTATGCTGGCGTGATGTCTGTGCTCATATATGTTAACCCTGTGTGCTGCATGGGGGGGGGGGGGGGAAATGTCTGTGCTCAATATATGTTAACGCGCTGTAATCTGCGTGCATGTCTGTGGGCTCAAATATGTTAAGCTCCTGTATGCTGGCGTGATGCTGTGGCTCAATAATGTTAACCCTGTATGCTGGCGTGATGTCTGTGCTCATATATGTTAACCCTGTATGCTGGCGTGATGTCTGTGCTCATATATGTTAACCCTGTATGCTGGCGTGATGTCTGTGCTCATATATGTTAACCCTGTATGCTGGCGTGATGTCTGTGCTCATATATTTAACACCTGTATCATGCGTGATGTCTGTGCTCATATATTGTTAACCGCTGTAATGACTGGCGTGATGTCTGTGCGTCATATATGTAAGCCCTATGCTGGCGGGATGTCTGTGCTCAGTATATGTTAACCCTGGTAGCTGGCGTGATGTCTCGTGCTCGATATATGTTAACCCTTGTATGCTGGCGTGATGGTCTGTGCTCATGATATGTCTAACCTGTATGCTGGCATGATGTCTGCTGCTATATGATGTTAACCCTGTATGCTGGCGTGATGTCTGTGCTCATTATGTTAACCCTGTATGCTGGCGTGATGTCTGTGCTCATATATGTTAACCCGTCGTTATCACTGTGTGATGTCTCGTCTGCCAATATATGTTAACCCTGTGTGCTGGCATGATGTCTGTGCTCATATATGTTAACGCCTGTAATCTGGTGTGAATGTCTGGCTCAATATATGTTAACCCTGTATGCTGGCATGCTGCTGTGGCTCATCAGTATGTTAACCCTGTAATGCTGGTGTGATGATCTGTGCTCATATATGTTAACGCTGTATGCTGGTGTGATGTCTGTGCTCATATATGTTAACCCTGTGTGCTGGCGTGATGTCTGTCTTAACTGCTCATCGCTGGTCGCTGCACAGGCTGGGAATACACGATCGAGCCGTCGATGGCTGGATGGAGCGCAGTGGAGAAGCGCTACCATGTCTGCAGGCGTCGCCGCTGGGTGAGACAGCGTCTGCTTGTCGACCCTAGCCTCATCTCTCGCCACGAGGTGAGCAGCGGTCGTACGTGGTTGGTCTGTTCTTAACGTGATTAGTGAGTGAGTCAGCGAGCGAGAGTGAGTGTGAGTGTGAGTGTGAGTGTGGGAGTGTGGGAGTGTGGGAGTGTGGGAGTGTGTGAGTGTGTGAGTGTGTGAGTGTGTGAGTGTGTGAAGTGTGGGAGTGTGGGAGTGTTGGGATTGGTTGGGAGTGTGTGAGTGTGTGAGTGTGAAGTGTGATGAGTGTGTGAGTGCTGTGAGTGTGTGAGTGCTGTGAGTGTGGGGTTTTTTGGAAAAGTTTTTTTGTGTGAGCTGTGTGGAGTGTGTGAGTGTCGTGAGGTGTGGAGGTTAGTGTGAGGTGTGAGTGTGTGAGTTGTGAGTGTGTGAGTTGAGTGTGAAGTGTGTGAGTGTGTGAGTGTGTGAGTGTGTGAGTGAGTCGAGTGAGTGAACGATTGATAGACTAAATCAATCATCATAAACAATAATAAATGAATAAATAAACATCGCACGGACGAGGAAGCACACTGCCGGACGCGAGGGCTGGGAGTTCGCCATGCTTCTTCAACACGAAGTTTACTGAAGAATCGGCCGACTGATCTCGTGCGCAGACGCCCGCTGGCACCGCAAGATGACGGCCAGCCAGGCGGGTGTCAGCCGCTGTGTTTGTGAACAACCTTAAAGGCACAGCAGAGGGTGAAGAGAGGGGGAGAGCGGGAGGGGTAAGAGGATAGAGAGGGGGAAGAAAGAAAAGAGAGAGAGAGAGGGGGGGGGAGAGGCAGAGAGGGGAGAGAGAGAGAGACGCGAGAGAGAGAGCGAGGGGGAGATAGGTGGGGCAGAGAGAGTGAGAAGAGGGGGAGAGAGGTGGGGTCAGCCCAATTGTTTGTGAAGAACCTTAAAGCACCTAAGGCGGAGGTAGAGAGGGGGAGAGCGGCAGGGGTAGGAGGGAGGAGAGAGAGAGAGAGAGAGAGAGAGAGAGAGAGAGAGAGAGAGAGAGGGGGGGAGAGAGGGAGAGGGGGGCGGAGAGGGAGAGAGATCGAGGAGGGAGGATAATCATTGCGTTTTGGCCAGTTTTTATTATTGGTATTACAATGAATATATTTATGCAATATATATGTATATATATATACCTATACGTTCATGTACGCACGCACTCACGCACACACCTATGCATATCACTGTAATCAGATAGTGTAAAACCAAACAGTGGACTAGCAACTGGTACTGAAGGAGGAACACTGTCTTGTTACCTTTTGTTTTGTCAATCATCGGTGTTTTGTTGTTCCAGGATTCTGATGATGAGGAGGAGGATCACACACAGACTGCTCCCAGGATGTTCCTGTCTTTCCAGCGTACGTTCCTCCCTCATACACGCACACGCGCACCCGCGCACGCGCACACACACGCACTCACGCACGCACGCACACACACATACACGCACTCACGCATGCACGCACACACACATACTAAATACAGAGATTGATAGATGTAGATTTGGAGGAAACATCTTTCTTTTCATAAGGTCCAAAAAGTGAAAACGATGTACACTGCATATGTGTTATAATTATGCGATATAGATTTTATATAATTGTAATGTTCATAAATTTCCAAACAGACATCAAGTATACACAGTATACGGTATAGGTTCATACTGATTCTGCTAGCCTCGTATACTTATGTACACCCCATTGATGTTTGCTTCAGAGGTTTACAAGTATCAGCTGAGGGCATACGTCTATCAGGCCAGAGACCTCGACGCTGGTGATACGAGGGGCACATCTGACCCATACGCACAGGTGAGCAGAAACTGACAGATATGCACAGGGGAACGAAAACTGACAAATACGCACATGTGAGTGTAAACTGAAAAATACGCACAAGTGAGTGAAAACTTACAAATACGCACAGGTGAGTTGAAACTAAAAAATGCACATGTGAGTAAAAACTGAAAAATATCCACGGGTGAGTGAAAACTCACAGATATGCACAGGTGTTAGAGTGAAAACTGACAAATACGCACAGATGAGTTAAAACTAATAAATATATACACAGGCGAGTGAAAACTGACAAACACAGCCCGCATAACTCGTGAAATATTGCAGCGAAATATCACTCGTGCTAACGACATTTTGCACCTGTGCAGGTGAGTTTCCTCGGCTGCAGTCAGTCGACAGAGATGGTGCGTAAGACGGTGTCGCCGACCTGGGACCAGACGCTGATATTTGAGGAGATGTCGCTGTACGATTCACCGGACAGCATGCGCACGAGCCCTCCCAGCATCATCGTAGAAATATTCGACTTCAACAAGTTTGTAAGTACGACATTACTGCAAGATGTCTACCACGTGCACCATCTAATTTATTTATTTATTTTTATGTTTGTATGTTTTTTTATTGAAAAGTTTTGCATCATTTTGCATTAAGTTGCAGGCTTGCATAAGAATTTTTAATGTCAAGTTGATGCCAAATGGTTCTACGATGGTTAGTGGGTATAGCAACTTTAGCTGATATAATGATTTATTTATTTGTTTAATTCATTAATTAGTTATTAAAAAGGTTAACATCAGTTCAGCATTAAGTCTGACACTTGTTTACAATATGTTAATGTTTAATTGATGGCAAGTTGTTCCACGGTGGTTACTGGCAATGCATCTCTAGCTGATATCATGAACATATGTATACTACAGGATATCCTATGTATTCTCTAGGATACATACGTTAATGGTGATCTGTAGTTTGGGACACAGTATATGTAGGATATGGTGTGCATGTATTTGAGACAGTTGAAATTAAATTCTGTACACTGGTTTGTTATCGTACAGCTAAGTCTAATACGTTTTTCTGACAGAATTATGGTTATAGAGTGTTCATGTATGTGTTTTTGTATTCTATTATTCAACATGTATTAGTGCATATATACACTTAACTCGTTATTTGTTTCATGCAGCATGTATCATAGTTCTCACAGGTGAGGAAATAAAACACGTTTACATATAGCTAGGAGATATGAAAGGATCTATAGGAAAAGAAGCCTGACTGGTTTTCTAAAGAAAAACTTATATGAGCTTTTGCTAAATGAAACATCTACATCTAAATAATTGAGAGTATAGTATATTATAGTATAGAACTTTACATATTACTGTACATATTATTATTATTATTATTATTATTATTATTATTATAATATTTATTATTATTTAACTAAGCCGAGTAGCTTGGGTTTATACGTTCTCACAGTCACTATGTATGTATATGTGTGTACATATGTGTTTCTATATGCGTATATCCAGCTAACACATAACGTTTTCACAACGTTGCTGGAATATGTTGTAGTTTGGTTAGGTTAGGAATAACATTGCAGCAACGTTCTATAGAAACGTACCATGCAAACGTTACACTTGCACCTTCCCACAACGTTATGTAGTAGCGTTTTAAAAACGTTATTAGGACGTTGCATACGTATATGCTATTATACATATTTTTCTATAGTAAATTGACATCTGTAAATATATATATTGCTGGCAGTACAGCCAGCTTTGAACCTCTTCGTATAACCAAGGAACGATACATACGTGTTTGTATGCGATCGCCAGCCAGATTATATAATGCGTGTTGACTTCGGTCTCTGATTGTGGTCGTAAATGAATCATTCCAGATCATTATATCACGGTTTATCGTGAGGTAACCACTCTGGACCATTGCAGGGCAAACCGGACATGCTGGGCAGAACATTTGCAAAGCCGACGGTGAAGCTGACAGCCGAGGATGCGGAGAGAGAGACGCAGCTGCGGTGGTACAGCATCGATAACGGCGACGATGGTGGCGAAGGAGGAGGAGGAGGAGGAGAGCTTCTCGCTGTTTTCGAACTCTACCTGGTGCTTTAGCTTTACTTAGCTTTACTTGGGAGTACTTAGCCTTACTTAGCTTTACTTAGATTTGCTTAGCTTTACTGAGCCTTACTTAGATTTACTTAGATTAGTGGAGTATAGAACACGTGTATACTCCAGTTTATGTACATTTTATTACATGAATACTCACTCTATAGTATGTATATTCTCATATATTAAGACTTCTGTGGTATTCATATAGTTTAGGATATGAATTTGCTAGTGTATTAATTCTTTAGTATCTGAAGTATTTGAAGTAGTATCTATAGTATATTAAGTAGTTTTCTAATATATGTAGTGAATTTATAATTTAAATGCTGGTTATAATAAATGATACTGATGAGAAATTCGTACGTTGCTGAAATAATAACATGCTGTTTCACTGCAGTCATTCAGGTTGTGTAAAGTATTGTAGCTTTACTATGCGCATGGTAGCTAGTCTCTATAATTTTTGTCGCATCTCTGTGTGTGGGCGTGTAGATCTCTGAGGAAGTTCCGCTGCCATTCAAGCCATCAAAGAGGGGCGCCCTCTATGAAGTGCCTAGTGGAATCAGACCGGTGCTCCGTAGGACGGCTGTTGAGGTAATTATATATATTTATCTTTTTTACCCTTATATATACATACATATATTATATATATATATATATATATATATATATATATACAGAGAGAGAGTGAGAGAAAGTGTACCTGTGTTTACATTGTCATCAGGTGCTGTGCTGGGGCGTGCGGGACATGAAGTCCTTCCAGCTGGCTGCAGTCACCTCGCCCTCCGCTCAGTTCAGCATCGGTAGCAAGACCATCTCCACGGAAGTGATACGCAGCACGAAGAAGAACCCAAACTTCACCAACCCGATTCTCTTCTTTGATGTTGTGAGTGTGTAGTATTAGGCATGCATGCACACACGCACACGCTCGCACACATGTACGTGCATGTAGGCACGAACACACGCACATGCTCCCAAACATATGTACGTGCGAGTAGGCACGCGCACGTGCACACGCGTATGTGCATGCACACATCTACTCATGCAAAAACTATAAAGATGTGTGATGGTATATGAAATTGTGATAGCGAAAGGGTTTAATTACATATTATATTTAGCTAGTGGTTCATTGCATGTATTCCGTGTTGGTAAGTATAGTAGTTTATAGCACATGTGTTTCATGTTGTTAGCTGATAATTCATAGCATGTGTATGTTCCATGTTGCTAGAAGACTCTTTGTTAATCTATATGTTCTGCATTGTTAGCTTGTGGTTCATTATATTCCGTGTGGTTAGCTGTTGGACCAATAGTGTGTGTTATGTGTTGTTAGAGGACACTTCATTAGTGTGTGTTCCATTTAGTTGGCTAGTAACTAATTAGTATGTGTTCTTTTTATTATGCGGTAGTTTATTGCGCACTGTTCTGTGTTGTTCTTTAGCTGCTACCAGAGACGGAACTGTACACGCCACCTTTGAACATCCGCGTGAGGGACCACCGTATGTTCGCGCGCCAGCCCACAGTTGGCATCACCTCGCTCGCATGCATCGACAAGTATCGCTGTGCCACGCTGCCACCAGAGGGCCTCAGCAGCCTCAAGCTTGAGAGTAAGGGGGCTGGAGAGATTTACTGCCACTATGGTGGCCCGTGGAGTTATGAAGAGAGAGACGGAGAGAGAGAGAGAGTGAGAGGAAGAGAGAGAGAGAGAGAGAGAGAGAGAGAGAGAGAGAGAGAGAAAGAGTGTTTTCTGCATTCTTTGTGTTTGTGGTTAATTGCATTTTGATTTCCTAAGAAAGCTAGCTATAGCTACGATTGCCTCCTAGATACAATAATCATGTAATCATGTAACAATGTCATAATATAGTATAGTATTATAATAATGATAGTATTAACAATAATACCATGAGAAGTAAGGTAATAGGGCATATTATTATAAGTGAATATCATTATTTAAAGGATTCATGACATGTCTATATAATATACATAGATTTTATATATATATATCTTTATGATGAGGACAATAATGATGTTAATACCACTACTAGTACTATTGAAACTAATCAGTTTAATAATACTAGGAGCATATATACTTGATATATCTAGAAATACAGTATGAAAATGCATGTTCTCATACAGTTGCAGGCGTAGATAGCACAGACCGCAGTGGAGAGCACATCATAGACCTGGATATAGAGGGCGCTGTCGATGACAGTGATAATGATGATATTTCGCTTGCAAAGCTGGGAAAGACGACTTCCAAGTCAGCGCTCGTGTCAAAGTCTGATCTCACGGTGAGCCATGTGAATATATAGCTATAGGTGCAGGGATAATTAACCCTGAAATTAATAACTAATTAATAGGGCTAATTAATAATGCTATATCATGCTGTTATCATATTAATTTATCCATCTGAGATTGGTTTATAACCATGCCTCTCTTAGATATTGTTGGCAGGTCGGTCAATCTAGACCAGTACGTTCTTATACCTACGCCCATGTTTTGCATGCCAAAGAGTCAACTTTGGAGCACTCTGTTAATTACCAAGCATTTGTTCTAGAATGTGCTATTGCAGCACTGATTGGCTAGAAGTGCCTGTCACTCACCAGACAGATCAATATTCTAGAAGTGCTACTTTGATCATTGCTGTGCCTGCTAGTTGCCATGCATCCTTCTGACTGCTTGGTCTCATTCTTTGCTCCAATGTCAGCCATAATTTTTACTTCAATTCTATTTCTATTTCCTTTCCTGCATCTTCTTCTTTCTTCTCTGCACTAGAATAAGGAACGTGAAGGTGTACAGAGCATTTTTATGTCTGTCTTGCTTGAATTGCTGTGTGCATGTGTGACTTAATTGCTGTGTTTCTGCCTTGCCTGTAAGCAGAGTGTATGAGACACTGTGTGTAGACATGAGAGACTTATTTTTGAAGGAGAAGTTGATATCAAAGAAGGGCGGCATAACGACTGCAAAGAAAAGCATGCGGAAAAAAGCTGTTGAAAGTGGCAAGCTTATTGCGACACATGACTCTGCCCTAAATAAGTGCATGGTTAGTGTATTATATGTGTCTGTTAGGCGTGCGGTAAGAAATATTGGAATAAGTTTATTGAATTTTGCTAAAATATAAGAGTGCGAAATACATAGAAAAATACATAGTATAATTGTAAGAAGTTTATTTTATGATAAATCCATTTATTTAACATGTTATAACAACCGTTTTGACAACTGATTTGGTTGTCTTTGTCAGGCAGGTTAACCTAAAATTACAAAATCAACTAATGGTAAAAATGAGTTTCTTTTTCCCTCTGTAATAACTCCTATATGTTTCTCTAAGCCATCTATGATTTTCTAACAAAGTGACCAAGCCAAACTTTGCGAAAACATGCATATAAGACGTACTGAACTCATTCTCGTTAAGTTATTTTTAATCGTACAACAACAGAAGCAGTTAAGTTATTTTTAATCGTACAACAACATCACATGATATATAACTTATACGTATGAGCATTTGAATTAGCTAGAATTATGGTTCTATAACAAGCTTGCATAGTGCGGTGTGTCATTCCACGCATTGCCTTCTATATTGATCCACTTTCGATCACTAATATTTTGATACCATGAACATACATATACATGGTATAGATACGTGTATATATTGTATTTATTAATGTATATAAGCGCACTATTACATATAGGTAGTATATATATATATCTATTAACAGAAAAATAAGCTTCTGAGTTATTATTCTCGTGTATAAGTTGCATCCCAACTTTTTATATTGAGTTCAGGTACAAAAATGTGTTACTTATACACGACTAAATACGGTATATGATTGTGTTGATGGTTGTAGCTTGTTGTGTGTGTGTTTCTAGGATGATACCAGTGAGGGTATTGACTGGTGGTCCAAGTACTACGCATCGTGTGGACAGGAAGACAAGGCGGGGCACTACCTTGAGAAGAACTATGATACAATCGAGGTATGAACCAACTGTAATGACGTGGCAAGTACGGACGCACGTGCTGGTTGACGATGGAATGGCAGACGTTTGATGGTTCAAAGAAACTTGTTGAAATTATTCGTTTTTTTTTGGTTTGATTTGAGATTTGCATTGATCTTTTATTTTTACACTAGATTTATGATACAGAGCTTGAGCAGCTCGAGCGCTTCGATGGCTTCACGGATTTTTGCGACTCGTTTCTTCTGAACCGCGGCAAAAACCTCGAGGATGAGGAATCTGATGTCATCGGGCAGCTGAAGGTGACGCCGTTTATTAAAGGCTCACAATGTGCATCCAAACGCTAATTTCTACAGTACTAGACTAGCAAATACTTCGTGGCATGAATAATCACACTACCTTATGACAAAATAAACTCTAGCTCCTCCAATTTCACTGCGCGTTGTCTTATAAAAGGTATTTTGAAAATACCTCCAATGTTGTTGAAATTCTCCGATGTTGTTGACAGTTTCCCCAATCTCCAAGCAACCGTGCAGCGGTGGCGCGGTACAGCGGTACGGGCGCAGCAAAGATAGAAACATGTGACGTCACCAAACCAAGTCGATGTTATGTTGTTTGAAACAAGTTAGCGTTGGCGCCTGATTACCTGATTTCGCACCTCTTTCTTGTTGGGAACGCGCAGTCAAATGGGAGGAACTAGAGTTTATTTTGTCATAAGGTAGTGTGATTATGCATGCCACAAAGTAGTTGCTAGTCTAGTACTGGAGAAATTTCAGCGTTTGGATGCGCATTGTGAGGCTTTAAAGCCTCGCTTTACATGTGAAACTATAGCCCAGTGTAACCATGCACACACCATGCAGTGCATACATGTGTGCCTGGTGTTCTGGAAGTTTGGTTCACGTTAATTATGATTATAAGATTTTTTTAAATTGCACAGTTTGTACATAATAAAGCTAAAGCGTATGCTTTTATGAGCATCGATCAGTAGGAAAGATTGTCAAAATGCTAGTAGTAACACTATAACTATATATGCTCCACTTATGCTCCAAAGTCCTGTAATTATACTCTGCTCCGAATTATGCTGTAATTATAATCTATGCTCCAAACTATGCTGTATAGTTACGCTCCTAGCAAGCTTTGCTGTTGTTATACTCCAAACTATGCTGTAGGCTACTTATACTCCAAAATATGCTGTACTTATACTACAAACTATGCTGTACTTATACTCCAAAATATGCTGTAGTTATACTCCAAACTATGCTGTAGTTATGCTCCAAACTATGCTGTAGTTATGCTCCAAGCTTTGCTGTAGTTGTACTCCAAGATATGCTGTAGTTATGTTCCAAACCATGCTGTAATTGTACTGTAATTATTATCTGTGCTCTAAGCACTGCTCCATGCCCATACTTGCACTGCAAACATTGCTCTAATTTTATGATTCAATGTACGTTTGTTTGGCAGGTGTTGTGTAAGATATATCCATTACCAGAAGATCCCAGCATTGCATTGCCACCTAGGTATCTCACAAGTCTGCCTCCATCTCAGCCAGAGGAATGCCTCATCAGGGTTTACATTATCTGTGCAGTAGATTTGCAGCCAAAGGATAACAATGGCTTGGTAATTAAGCTCAATTCTGATACCAGTTAAGGTCAAACAGTGTCAATAGTATTACTCGTGGGGCATCTTCGAGGGCCGTGTTGTGGGTGATATTCGATTAATATTTTTCAATTAATATACGATATTTTATATCCCGTGCAACAACATCATTAACATGTTGTTCTAATGTGATTACGCAGGAGTAGGGCAAATTAATGGATGCAAACTATAGAATCAGGTATGGGACGTAGGTGAGGACGAGTGCAGGCAGTGTCATGTGGGTCAGGGGGCCGTATATAGTTGGAAACATTTAATTCGTAACCTTGGTCGTAATCGTAATATTACGATATTTCTCACAATGAGCCCGTGACATATACATCAGAAGTAGATAATAGGGTTTCCTATTTGTTCCCTATTATCTACTTCTGATATACATCCACAAAGATTATATAGCTAATTTATGCATAACCTTGTGCGACATAATTATATTCGTTACATAAGCTGCTCGATTGTTAAATCTGGTTCGATTTCTGCTTGTTCCTGCTGAAGCTCCGTATATATATATATATATATATATGTATTGCAGGCCGACCCATACCTAGTTGTGAAAGTAGGTGACGAGAAGTATAATGGTCGTGATGAACGCAAGGCCAACACTATCAACCCAATATTTGGACAGTAAGTATAACTACAGCTAACCTGTATAACTACACAGTTAACCTGTATAACTACAGTTATAACTGTATAACTATACAGTTAACCTGTTTTGTATTTAGACTAGAACAGGCTGTGTTTAAAGTTATCTAATGTCTAATGATTTTTACAGTAACCTTGAATGAGGTTTTATAGTTAGATCGCCCCACTGGCCCCAATGTTTCAAAGGTCTTTCTCGAAGGTAACTGTGTTACCATTCCATGGCCTTGTGATTGAATATAATCATATAGTAATAATGTAATATCTCTAATATATACATATACCCTATATATGTATATACCATACATTTATCATGCATGCACATATGACGCCTGATGTGGGTGTAAGACCATGAAAGTCTGCATAATTGTGCAATGTGCAATTGTGGAGCTAACACGTAGCGTATAGGGGACATAATTGGAAATGAGACCTAATTTTTGGAAAGAAAACGACATAAATGGCATCTAGAAGGACATGTCTAACGCACCGTTGTTTTATGAAAACATGTTTGTAATATATATATATATAATTTATTATGTCAATTTGTTAATTAACGTATAACATACATACAGTTAAATTAACCTCAATTATCCGAACGAGACGGGCGGGGGGTATTTTGTTCGGATAACTGATCTGATCGTATTACCGTTGAATATTCACGGGAGCTTAAGATATTGTTCGGATAATTGATGTTTGGATAACTGAGGTTTGACTGTATACGTATAGAGGACGTAATCGGTTACTTAGAAAAAGAAGCAGACAGCGCCTTTCCACAGTGGCTGCCCCCGCCAGCATGCCGGTGTATCACTGCTGACGTCCTGATTGGTTACTTCTTTGCGCAGGATGGTAGAGCTGAAGTGTGTGATCCCGCTGCACACTCACCTGCGCATGCAGCTGTGGGACTATGACCTCGTCAGCTCCGACGATCTGATCGGCGAAACCTCCATCGACCTCGAGAGCCGCCTGCTGAGCAAACATGGCGCCACCTGTGGGCTCCCGCGCAGCTACTGCACGTGAGTGTGACCCCCCCGCCCCCCTGTGCTGCCCACAGCGACTGCATGGGATCTCGTATCTCACGCCGGCGCCATCTGCTGGTTTCTTTCATAACTTAATTGTATATGGTTATGTGTGGTTGTATCTGTATCATAGAGGGTTCTTGTAGTTCTCCTCCCCCCACCCCCGCACCTCCACCAGAGGGCCTTTGTCTTGAATTTGTTGTGTAATTGCATTATTTTCATCGTAGTTAAATTGAAAGTTACGAGATGGTGTAGGATCTCGTAATGTTAAGAGGAAATTTGCTTGGATTTGTTATTCTCGTAACTTTGCGATGTTGCTGTCAATGGTCTACAAGAAAAAGACTAATTTTGTTTCTGACAGTGGGCCCCTGGCTTTAGGAATTAGTATTTATAGGTTAATAAATTGTAACTAGTATTTCTTCGGGAGTAAAAAACAAAAAAGTTTATAATTACTATTGGTTTCTTCATATTGCTATAGGAGAACTGTAATTCTTCCCATGGGGCGTGGTGGTAGTTATCTTTGCAATGATGTGTTATATGAGCATATTGTGAGAGCATGTGTTCATGGTAGTGCTGTGTGTATACGTGTCACATACCTGTAGATCGGGCCCTAACGAGTGGCGACTCGGTACCACACCGATGGAGATGTTGGAAGCATACTGCAAGCGAAACAGCATGAGCCTACCTCAGTACTACGGGAAGACCGCGGTGAAGATAGCAAACAGGGTGCTAAACATCGGTGACTTTGGTAAGCAGTAGTGTGTCGAATAATTAAATATTGTGTGTTATTATAAATAATACCATATAATTTGATATGATTCTTGCTATTCGTCGTCATCTTATTTTTCTTCGGCTTGTTCTTTTTTTCTTTTTCTTTTTTCTGTTTTTCTTATAAGAAATAGTAGTAATAGTATCATCATGATGATGATGATGATGACAACGACGACGATACTGATGATGATGCTGATGATGATGATGATGATAACGATAATGATGGTTATTATTAATGTAGTATTTCTTTCATTCAGTATATGTATTTAATGTACTGCGGTGGTGACACTGAATTAATTTGTCCGGTGTGGTGGATTCTTTGTGTTGTTGTGCAGAGAAAGGAGACGCAGCCATTCAGCTCAACCTGGGTGAGACCGATCAGAGACTGGCGCTGCACGTGTTACGTCAGCTACCGCTTGTACGCGAACACGTGGAGACGAGGCCACTCTACAATCCGATACAACCTGGTCTAGAGCAGGTACATGTATACCCGCATACACATACACATTCAAACTGATCTAGTCAAACCTAGCTGTGTTAGTGGACACCTATTGAACTGACTCCTGTCTGCGAAGAAAACCTTTCTCGTATATGCCCGAATCTCGTAACTCATATATATCTGATCAGATTTTATCCATGAAACTTGTGATTGATTGTACAACGTGTATATAGTGCATGGTGTTGTGTTTGGTGTCTAGTATGAGAGTTAGTATAAGTTCTGTATAGGCTACAGAATGAGAAACCCTGGGACTATGAGTACACCAGTTTTAATTAATTATTAAATTTAATGTTTGGTGACATTAATTGCAGGGTAAGCTACAGATGTGGGTGGACATCTTCCCTCGTTCTTTGGGACCACCAGGAAAAGCTGTTGACATCACCCCAAGGGTTCCACACAAGTGAGCAAATAAGCATTTTATGGAGCACAAGTTTTTTACTATCGTGGTTTTCATATAGTGCTCACTCTTGCTTTATTAAGCAAATAGAGAAAGAGAGAGAGCAATTCATTGAAATTCCAATGAGTTGGTTCATCTATTATACCCCATCGTCATCAATTACAGTACCTACTACTTTGTCTGTATAGACACGTTTTAAACGTCAGTTAACTAATAATCATGCATATTCCCCTAGCTGATGTCACACTGCCGGTAATTGTCTTACAGTAAAATAATTACCGGTACAATATTATTATAATTAACGTATATACGACAAAACTAGATATTTTCTATAAATTATTATTATTATTATTATTCGTATATGTACATGATGTATGGCTGTGTTAACAGTGCATTGATAAAAGACAATTAGGATTTGCAAGATCCTCACTGTCAGTATAACGTGTTGATGGCGTTTGTCTGTGACAGCTATCAGCTTCGCTGCATCATTTGGAACACGAAGGATGTTGTGTTGGATGAGACATCAATCACAGGAGATGAAATGAGCGACATTTACGTGAAGGGATGGATACCAGGCAAGTTACTGCTACAGACAACATGTATAACCTTGTCAATCAGTATTACTTTGTGTTCATATACTTATATATATATATATATATATATATATATATATATATGTTATTGCTACAGAGAACATAATATGTATATACATATTATCAGGAGTGTATCAATACACTCCTGATATTGATACACTCCTGATATTATATTATAACCTTAGTGTTTGGTATAACTTTGTGTTGACAAATGTATGCGAAATCTCATTAAATCATTTACACAACATGTATAGATTCATTGGGGGAGGAGCTCTTCACACAATTTTAATTAATTTCCCATCAACATGCTTGTTTCTGCCTGCAGGTATTGATGAGAAACAGAAGACGGATGTGCACTATCGGTCTTTGGACGGGGAGGGCAATTTTAACTGGAGATATATCTTCCCGTTCAAATACCTGCCAGCTGAGCAGTCCATCATTGTGGAGAAGAAGGTCTGAGATGTTAAAAAACGTGAACTAACGTTTAGAATTAACGCAGTAACATAATCTAAAATAATCTAATGACATACTTTTATATTGTGGTGACTGTGATTCTTTGTTTAATATCAGGAGCATTTCTGGAACCTAGATGAAACAGAGACTCGTCTCCCTCCCCAGTTCATCGTTCAGATATGGGACAATGACAAGTTCTCAATTGATGATTTTCTAGGTAACCGTGTGATAGATACATCTGTGTGTGTGTATGCATGTGTGCGTGTCTGCTTCCTGACCGTAGCTTGACAGAACCCTCCTACATATTGTGCTTCTACGAAATTGACGCCATGCCTGCAATCAATGTGCAGTCGTAGGATTGAAACACTAGCTGGGGGGCATCTCGTGTGGATAGGGTTGTTGCAATCACAAAGTCTTACACTATAAGTAACAGTTGAAGTATTCAACCATAACTTGTTAGGAGTAGTTGAGATGTTAAACTGTAGCTTAGGAACTGTTTAGGTGTTGAACTATAGCTTAGCAACTGTTGAAGTCTTCAGCTATAACTTAGAAGGAATTTCTGTGATGTTAGAACTATAGCTTATAAGAAGCTGTTGAACTACAGCATAGGAATAGCTGAAGTCTATACTATAACTAGAAACCAAGCAACTGATTGAGTATTAATCTGTAAAGTGTTTAGCAACCATCCACAATAAATCTCTATCGCTGTCTCTCTCTCACACACACACACTCTCTCTCTCTCTTCCTCCCTCCCTTCCTCTCTCCCTCCCTTCCTCCCTCCCTCCCATGCCTCCTCCCTCCCCTCCCTCCCTTTCTCCGTCTCTCATCTCTCTCTTTCTCCGGTCGATTGCAGGATCCCTGCACCTGGACCTCACCAGCATGCCGGAGCCAGCAAAGTCTGCCAAGTCCTGCAGTCTGAAGATGCTGTCGGACTACCAGCCTCTGCCCGGTGAGAAGCCGCCAGCGCAGTGGAAGACCGTCTCACTGATGGACCAGAAACGCGTGTTCGGCTGGTGGCCCTGCTACAGCAATGCGGCAGGCAAGGACGGACGACGCCAGCTAAGCGTGAGTACTCTGTGGAGGTTTGGTTGCCCTTGGGTGCTCTGTACAGGTTGGATTGACCCTGCGGGAAGACTGTTGTGAGTGGAACCACTGGTCGGCGCTGGACTGAGAAAAATTTCGAAACCGGTTTTGAACCTGTGAAGGTCGGGTAAAGCAAAGGTTACGTCCAACTAACAAGACGTTACTGGTTCTCGACTTTTTGGGAGCTTATTGGAAAGTGAATAATTATTAATGACCAGAAAGAAGCACAGGCCACTGGGAGTGACATAGAAACACCGGCATGCATGTAAACGATGAGAGTTATTAGTTATAATGACTCTTCAAGTTGCCTGACTGCTGTACAGTGATATAGATTCTAGTGAGATGTATTCTCTATATAGGATGTCAGTTGTGATATGCCTCTAGGAATTAAATGGTTTCGGATAAAATGTTGTGGACATGTATTTATACTATATTAATTATATATATATATATATATATATATATACATATATATATACGTTATACTATAATATATAGTGTCATGAGCTGCGTGGTTTCTCGGTACGTAGTTGTTGTGCAGATAATTTACATGTTCTGATTCACGTTTTGTGCGGTCCTCACTTTGAGGAAACAAATTGTAGTTGCCGATTTGTGATTGCAAAGAAAATTCTCGTTATGATTTCTCATCAATTTACGATTGCAGGGCAAAGTGGAGATGACATTAGAAATTGTCTCAGGAGAGGAGATCGACACAAAACCAGCGGGGAAAGGCAGAGATGACCCCAACATGAACCCCAAGCTGGAGGAGCCCATGTAATTATAACTATTCTACATTCACTTCCCCGAAATTCTTCTAAATATTTATCGTTGTCCAACAGCTACTGTTCACGTGTAATGATGAAGATATCAGTGCTTAATGCTTCATTTCGGTAAACAGCTGCATTTAAATAATTCAGACAGTAATCGATCAACTATATATTTCTAACTATAGTTTTCGCACGCCTGGTACACTGCTATGCCGTATTAGCTATGTGCACTTGAGCCCGGGTTACCAGACACCTTTATGTGACAGGCATCTGTCTCTAAAGCATGCGTTTAGGGTGCCCCTTCACTGACCTTTGTATACAGGTTGCATTTTATTCATAGATGTGAATTTTTTAGTAGCATGGTGTGTGCCTGCCATATAGCATTTACCCCTTCTCTTCTTCTTCCGTTGTCAGTCTTCCATCAACTGGCTGATGATTATGACTGTGGCAATTAACGACTGATGAAATTTCTCGTCATGATTACGATAATTTTGAAATTCAATTGAATTAAATTTAAATGTCATGATTGGTATACAGTTGATTGATTAGTTGGGATGAGGCTGTGAGTGATGAAGATGGAGATCCAGTTCTTTCTTGAAATCGTCCACCAAGTTTATGATAGCTAGTTCAGATGGTATAGCGTGTTCCACAGTCGAATTAATCTGTGTTAACTATCTCTTTGTGGCCTGTGGTGTTCACCAGTATTAAATGCTGCCTTCACCATATCATTCTGTGTTATTGCAGACGCCCAGCCACGTCCTTCTTGTGGTTTGCCAGTCCATTCAAAACCTTGCGCTTCATCCTCTGGAGAAACTACAAGTGGTGGATCTTGCTGTTCATCATTGTTCTTCTGCTCGTTATCTTCGTCATACTGTTCGTATACAGCTTGCCGGTGAGTGATTCCCTATAATATGTGGGGAGTGAGAGAGCGAGCATTGTAGCGGTAGCCACCCATGCAGATTCCGTGTATTTTCCCCTATAGAGGGATCGAGCTACTATATAGTCACTGATATTGTAACGTGGTCTGTTATTTTGCTGTAAACGTGTAATGGCAATTCCTTAAAACCTACAGTTTTCTTCAGATCTGCAAACACGGCATTGTAGACTTCGATTTCTTTCATCACAAGTGGCATACATTAATCGAAAATACTAATCAATAAATAAAAAATAATCAGGGAATATTTATTTTTTATGTAAAGGATTGATGTATAGTTTACATGGCGGGTGGACAGGTCTGATGCGTTTTTACCTTTATTTTACAGGATGCTACCATGACTAGACTGGTAGAGAAGATCTGGCAGTAATCAGTATTATAAATGAGTGAATCTATGCAGCCATGGCATAATATGCTGCATGCATGCAGCAGTCTACCCTAGGTCGTCTCTCATGAATATCACGTAAACAGAAACAAATTATAGTATAATATATATACATATATATCAGAAATAGATAATAGGGAAGGAGTGTGACTTCAATAAACAAGAGAAATTCGTCATTTACTAGCCTTAGAATACCTACGATTTACTATGCGTAACTCAACCAACTTGAGCTCAAATCGTACACAGTACATTCGCCTAGCATCGTGCGAAATCGTTTCCTCGTATACACCCGCAATCCGGAGATATACAGACTAAAACGTACGACACGATTTTCCATTATGTTGCCAGCAAACTGAATGTATAAACCGCCTAAATTGAAACAAAAGGCAGCTACTAGCGAGCCACACCGCATCGCCGATGGAGCAAGTGCGCAAGAGCTGCCTTTTGTTTCAATTTAAGCAGTTTATACATTTAGTTTGCTGGCAACATAATGGAAAATCGTGTCGTACGTTTTAGTCTGTATCTCCGGATTGCGGGTGTATACGAGGAAACGATTTTGCACGATGCTAGGGGAATGTACTGTGTACGATTTGAGCTCAAGTTGGTTGAGTTACGCCTAGTAAATCGTAGGTATTCTAAGGCTAGTAAATGACGAATTTTCCTTGTTTATTGAAGTCACACTACCCTATTATCTACTTCTGACATATATATTTCAAGATCCGAAATAACACAACACTGAACACAAATGTTCCGCATATATATATTGTGTCATGTTATATTGGATCTTGAAATATAGTAACGTATGGAGTGAAATGTTAGTCTGTGCTACCATATGCCACTACGTGTTTATACTTGTCAGTAGAAGTTCGTTATCCGTGCCCATGAGGCATATGTTAATTGTGGTTTGATGACTATGCTTGCTGTTTTCGAATTCCTGTTTCCAATCTTTATTTTAAATAAGAAATTTTCAATAACTCTTGCTTTTGGATCAATGTGTGTGTGCGCACGTGCGTGCGTTTTCCTACTAACACTTGTCAAAAAATGCCTGTAATGGGTCTTTGCAAGCATAAAGAACTAATAAGTATTAAATAGATGGTCCAGTGAATCATGATGCTTTCAAATGCATATCCGCAACAATCTATAGCATGTCTTAATCAGATATGGACGTGAATAAATTTCTCTGTCGAAACAGGTTGGTTTCTAGAAGTATTGATTAGTTTTTGATTATAGATTTTGCTACAGTATAATCATGCACTATTTATGCCAATTATTTTTACCTCTGTATTTGCAGTTGTTATATTAAATTGCACTTCGGTAAAATATATTATAGAGTATAAAACAATATGGAATAAGTATGCAACCTACAGTTGTAGCTAACATTTACATCGAATAAAATTACTAAAATTATTAAAGAATTAATTAAAGATTAATAAATAAATCCGTGTTGATACATGTTATAAATCGTGTTACTGTGATATAATTTCTATGTAACTCTAATACTTTCATGAAGTACTTTTAATTGCACCACCGTTGTAGCTATGGCGGTCGGCAGCGGTCGGTAATAGCCGGCTATGGTGTTGGCAGACCGGCACGCAGCTGAGCAATTGTGGGGCTCCTAGCAACCGGCCAATCCTGGGCCTCCTAGCAGCTGACCAATCAAGGGCCTCCTAGAAACCGACCAATCGTGGGCCTTGTAGCAACCGACCAATCGTGGGCCTCCTATCAACTGGCCAATCGTGGGCCTCCTAGCAGCCGACCAATCGTGGCCCTCCTAGCATCCAGCCAATTGTGGGCCTCGTAGCAACTGGCCAATCGTGTGCCTTGTAGCAGCCAACCAACCGTGGGCCTCCTAGCAGCCGACCAATCGTGGGCCTCCTCTCAGCCGGTCAATCCTTGGCCTTGTAGCAACCGGCCAATCGTGGGCCTCGTAGCAGCTGGCCAATCGTGGGCCTCCTAGCAGCCGACCAATTGTGGGCCTCCTAGCAACCGACCAATCCTGGGCCTCGTAGCATCCGATTAATCGTGGGCATCCTAGCAATCAACAATTTTTTAGCAATCGCCCCCCCCCCAATCCCACGGTAGGAACTTTTCGTATTTTTGATCTCTAAAAGGTCATATTTGCACATTTTAATCGCAAGTATCAACTATTGTTTGGATCGTTTACATGCCATAAACTAGGTGATCTGATCACTAGAGGTCGATGAATTTTCAAGTTTTAATTATTTTTAACCATTTTATTGTTTCAACCTTATTTTCTTACAACTTAACGATAGCTACACTCAATAAATTGCTTGTAGAATATTAGTATAGATATCTACGAATGATTTGAGTTATTTCTTGAATAAATTGGATGTGTATTATTGAAAATATAGCCAAAACCCTAAGAGTGTTATAACACAATCTCCGTTAACACGCCAGGGGCGCTTTACGCCACCAGATGGCGCTGTTCATTTGGCACTGTATCATAAATTCTTCAGGACCTCTTACCACTTCTAACCAAAAGTATGGAAGCCCTGAAACGACATACGACTTTTTGAGTTTTCGAGTTTCTGAATTTCGTATCGTATATAAGAACTAGAGATGGAGGTCACCGTCAAGCAAGGGTCAGTGGGAAGAATGTAAACACGTGAGAAATGTTGCATTGAGAAATGTTTTTAAGTCGCATTTTTAACACACATTTACTCTCACGGTAGGGGATTCTAAATTCAAATTGTATTTTCCCGCTAAATAATTAACACACATTTAATCTCACGGTAGGCGATTCTAAATTTAAACTGACTTTAATGTCACGGAGTAACGTATGCGCAGTGTATTCATTTTTGGACTTTTTCAAACATTTTCTACGACTCTCTCAACACTATATATATTGATGGAAAATTAAGAAACTCGGAAACTCAAAAAGTCGCATGTCGTCTCAAATCTTCCATACAAAATAGGTAAAAAATGTTTTTGTCTAGTAAATATGAGCGCTGGACTGAAACGACTTGAAAGAGGAGTTGAAAAAGATAAATGCGCAGGTTTCTGGTAGACAGGCCGAGTTAATAGAGCGGTGAGAATCTCAAATACGGCGTAGCGTGTACGACTACGAGTACTAGCAGCAGGAGTTAACATACAACTCCGATACAACCTAGCTCCAGTATAGCCCTTGTTCGCCACAGCCTGTGGCTAACAAGGGCTATACTATAATTCTAGAGCTACCATACAACCCAGAACCCTAATTCGGTAAATGTAAAATATTGAATATGTTACGTTGCTACTTATATTTATGAACGCTTGAAAGTAGATTGTGAGCGAGGTAGCTTGTATAGTAAAGTAGCCAAATAGTTGCTAAAGTTACATATCCTGTGTATTATATCTTAGGGTATATAGGTGTATCAAATTTATGATATGTGGGGCGTGTACATGGTTATACTTGATGCGATTTGTGATCGGTCGGGTGACGGGTCCTCATTGGCCAAGATTGATTTTGTTAGAGCACGTATACGTATGATATACGCGACGTGCTCTGATTTTGTATATACGGGAAATAATGTAAATAGATGTCAAATAAACTTTATGTAGTCTTTGTCACATAATGGTTCCACGCAAATCCTGATCAAATTCTTATCTACAACACACAGTTTGACCAACACGATAATTAATTATTAATGTTGAGTTCACAGGCACTTGAACGTTTCAGTAATAGTAGGTAATATAAAAACGAAAGTTTTGATGTTATCATAGATCTATGCTAGAATACCTCCTCTTCATTTTAAATGCATAATATTAGCAAAATATTATTCATTTTGGGAAATGGGAATGCGCGAGCACCGTTTCCGACGTGCAGTACGGACTGAAGAGAACTGCATGATATAGCTTGCTGAGGGAACTGAAGAGAGGCGGAGACTGAGGAGAGGCGACGGGGAAGATAGCTGAGGGGCATTATCAAAAGAAAGAGGCTGAGCTAGGCATAAGGGAGGTAGGGAGAAAGACTGGAGGGGTGGAGTAGGAGTTTTGCCCCTACAGGCTAGGGCGCTCTCCTAATTACAAACCCAAGTCTACATATAAAAATATAATTTCAGAAATCTATGCTGAGATACCCCTTAACCTTTTGGTTAAGGGGTATCTCAGCATAGAATTTTGAAATAAATGTTTATGTATAATGCATATAAATTTAATATGTATTAAATGCATATTCATCAAAAAATATAACTCCTCTGGTGAGATATTGCGCATGCGTTAACAAACTAACGTAGCTAGATTGCATGTGTACTGACTGGTAGCACACATAAGCAGCGGGCACCTTACATGAAAGGCCTGCTTCCTATTTTTGAAATAAGTCCTCCTGATACAAGTTTCTTATATAAATCTGTGATTGGATAACCCCCTCTTCATTTTAAATTCGTAATCTTTGCAAAATATTATTCTTCTCTGGAGATATTGCGCATGCGCGAGCACCGTTTCAGGCGTGCAGTTCGGCCTAAATAAATGTACGTAATATAGATTGCTGAGAAAGAGAGGGGTCGGAGACTGAAGGAAGGTGCCAGGGAAGATAGCTGAGGGGCGGTGGAAGGAGGCTGATCGTGCGAAAATGAAAACACGGAAAAGGGCGGGTGGGATGAAGTTTTGCACCCTACAAGCTACGGCGCTCTCCTAATTATAAACACAGGTCGACGGATAAGAATTTATTACAGAAACCTATGCTGAGATACCCCCTGACCATAAATTCATTTTCATCACAAAATATAGCTCTGCTGGTGAGATATTGTGAATGCGCTAAAACAGTAACGTAGCCAGGTTATGTACTGACTGGTATATAATCAGTGGGGACCTTACATGCAAGGTCTGCTTCCTATTTCTGAAGTGAGGTCTACTGATGAAATTTTATTATATAAATCTATGAAAGGATAACCCCTCTTTATTTTAAATTCATAATTATTGCAAAATATTATACTTCTCGGGAGATATTGCGCATGCGCGAGCGCCGTTTCAGTCGAGCAGTACGGCCTAAATAAAAGTACGTAACATAGCGTGCTGGGGGGGAGAGGGGTGGGAGACTGAAGTAAGGCGGCATGGAAGATAGCTGAGGGGCGGCGGAAAAAGGCAGAGGCTGAGCGTGCGACAACGAAGACAAGGGAAAGGGTGGGCGGGGCTGAAGTAGGAGTTTTGCACCCAACAGGGTAGGGC